AGGTGTGTTGTACGTGTTGCTACAAAAGTTTATATCGCACGCATATTTGGCTTCATTAGTAAGAATTATTTCTTGTACAATTACATAACTATAGTGATGGAACTGGAGACGAAATATAATTTTTATTTAAATTTGAGATTGTTTTGAGGTTGGTATAAATCTGCTTTATCGTAACCAACCTAAGGAGATTGTTTTTAAGGAGTAAAAGTTATTTTTCAGCGCTTCAAGCAAGTTTTTTCATTATTATTGCAATTGTTTTTTTTTTTCCTATTGTAGAATTTACAAAAAAAATTAGGTTGGAAATGATTTTTTTAGATAAAATCACATACTCTTATAATTATCTCATAGGTTAATATTATACGGGTTGCACCGTTTGATTATATGTGGATATTTTTCTTCAGTATAAGCGCATGCTGATTTGTAATGGATGCTCATCTGAACCCATCTGCAACTATTTTTACAAGGACTTGCCATACAGAGTCAATTTTAAGCATGTGGCTCAATGCTTTTCAGAGCAGTGATTTTTTAAAAAAAAAAAATTTAAAATAATAAATAAATAAACAAAAAAAAGCTACTCGGCTTGTGACATGTGAAAAATTAACTAGCTTTTCCCCACGTGCGTGGCAAGGAACCGCGCAGAAGTGTCGTTAGCATTAGCCCCTGAAGGAATAATTTCATAATTTTTTAATAATTGCTTTTTCTTAAATCAGAATGTAGTAAAAACTTATTGATTTGCGTGAATTGCCACGCGTGCTTAATATTTTTATATGCATGCTTAATATTTTTATAAAAATTTTCACCAAAATCGTCGCCAAAATAGATTTATTAATCATGTAGTTTCATTTTTTGAAGCCATTGGGCTACGACATCATGCGAAAACTTAACTAGCTTTTTCACACGTGCTTTACAAGGAACAGCGCAGAAGCACCAGGGGTAATTTTATAATTTATAAATAATTGCTTTTTTTTTCTAAGATCAGAATGTGGTAATCAAATACTGAAATTATTATGGTAAATACAGAAATCGAAACATAGTCAGGTGCTGAAACATATTACACTAAATAAAGTAAAGTAAAACATATCATACACAAAAAAATAATAATTTGCAATGTAGAAGAGAATCAATGTTGGAAAACAACAAAATTTTAAACGTATTACCCATGAATTATCCATTATAGACTGAGGTGACAAAAGTCATAAGATACCTCTTAATATCGTGTCGGATCTAACACTACGAAATCTTGCAAAAAACTGAAAGACATCTACCAGCAAAATGCATNTTTAATTTTTTTGAGATTTTTTATAGATGAAATGTGATTTCGTTCCAGTGTGCTCCTCAGGAATTGACATTATGGGTAAACTATGAAGGCAGGAATTTACACAAGGAATGAAATATAAGGGCCCTGTCGGGAATTTAGATAATGATTAAAATGTAATATTCATATCAGTAATTTTAACCAGTTCATGACAGGAGTTTACATAATGTGTAAAATATAATGGTACTAACCAGAATTTACATCGTGTATAAAATTTAAGGATCGGGTAGGGAATTAGCTTCATGAGTAAGATAATATAATAATGACGCCAGGAATTGTTACTATGGTTATGATAGAAATTTAACTTAAGAGTAAATCTTGATGATCATGTTTGGAGTTCACATTATTGGTAAAATGTAATGCCGGAAATTTGCATTATCAGTAAATAATAAATTATTTTGTAATTCGTGCATCAAGTAGCTACAAGCTTAGTTTTCAATTCTAGCATAAAAATTGCACCCAGGTGTATTGTACATGTTGCCACAAAAGTTTATATCGCACGCATATTTGGCTTTATTAGTAAGAATTATTTTTTGTACAATTACATAATTATAGTGATGGAACTGGAGACGAAATATAATTTTTATTTAAACTTGAGATTGTTTTGAGGTTGGTATAAATCTGCTTCATCGTAACCAGCCTAGGGAGGTTGCTTTTAAGGAGTAAAAGTCATTTTTCAGCGCTTCAAACAAGTTTTCTTATTATTACAATTGTTTTTTTTTTCTTTTGTAAAATTTACAAAAAAAATATTAGATTGGAAATGATTTTTTTAGATGTTAAATAAAATCACATACTTTTATAATTATCTCATAGGTTAATATTATATGGTTTGCACCATTTGATTATATATGGATATTTTTCTTCAGTATAAGAGTATTTTTCTTCAGTAATGGATGCTCATCTGAGTCCATCTGCAGTTATTTTTACAAGGACTTGCCATAAAGAGTCAATTTTAAACATGTGGCTCAATGCAGAGCAGTGATTTTTTTTTTGTAAAAAAGAAAAAATATTAATATTTAATAATAATGTAAAATTAAAATAATAAATAAACAAAAAAAGCTACTCGGCTTGTGACATGCGAAAAATTAATTACCTTTTCCCCACGTGCGTTGCAAGGAACCGCGCAGAAGCGTCGTTAGCTTTAGCCCCTAAAGGAATAATTTCATAATTTTTAAATAATTGTATTTTCTTAAATCAGAATGTAGTAAAAACTTATTGATTTGCACGAATTGCCACGTGTGCTTAATATTTTTATATGCATACTTAATATTTTTATAAAAATTGTCACCAAAATCGTCGCCAAAATTGATTTATTAATCATGTAGTTTCATTTTTTGAAGCCATTGGGCTATGACATCATGCGAAAACTTAACTAGTTTTTTCAAACGTGCTTTACAAGGAACAGCGCAGAAGCATCGATAGCACCAGGGGTTATTTTATAATTTATAAATAATTGCTTTTTTTTCTTAGATCAGAATGTGGTAATCAAATACTGAAATTATTATGGTAAATACAGAAATCGAAACATAGTCAGGTGCTGAAACATATTACACAAAATAAAGTAAAGTAAAACATATCACACACAAAAAAAATAATAATTTGCAATGTAGAACAGAATCAATGTTGGAAAACAACAAATTATGAACAATTTATGAAGGAACTAACTCGCATTTGCGTTACATGGAGAGGAAGGCCACGAGTACCTCCCACGGTTAGCCTGACGGCAAGGGGACTCTGATCCATGATTCGTCTACTACTGAGAATATTTCACATCAGCACTCTGGCTGGTGCAAGCCGGATGCGGAATTCGTATCGACTGGGATTCGAACCCGGTTCACCTCATTGGAAGCCGGACGCTCTATCCCCTGAGCCATCGCGGGTCATTTTATCCATATTTGAAGATTTCTTACCTATTAAAACTTAGCCAGCTACCATAATAATAGTTGTGTCTATTACCAAAACTAATTAAGCATCAATGGCTCTAATAATAATGTGGCGATTTTTTTTACGTTTCTCGTAAAAGAATTGGTGCCAATTCATTATTAATTTTGCTATTCAATACACAACTTTTATTACTTTTTTTATTTCAATTACTTTTTTATTTCTATTATTGTTCATTTCAAATTATTCAATTTTATAGATTCACGTTTTAAAAGCATAACTATAAACAAAATAATTACGTGGTTTTAAAAGCTTTAGATAGAGCCCCTGAATTAGACATAGTATAGGGGCCTTAGCTTTAGAAATACTGATTTGATGACGTAATCCACCAACGCTATCATGTTTGTGCTGATTATTGAGTTTATCTGATTCATAATGACCGAAATATAATAAAATATTAAAGAATGCGTAAAAAAACTCCTTTTTATGAAAGCTATAAGCTAACAAATCTTACTGATGTAATCTTTCAAATATTTAAAAGAAAGAAAATCGTCTGCAGCAGTCTCATTTCTATCAATGGCGAGTTCTGTTCTAAGGTAATGAAAAAATTTCGTTTCATATGGATCTACCGAGCAAATTAATTAAGAATTTCGAATAAGTTTTAGACTTGGGGCAAAATTTACCCCTTGCAGCCACTGCCCAAATTTCAGGAAGATAGAATAAATGTATTTTGAGTTATAAGAGGGGAACACACACACAGACAAACTGTTCATTTTATTATTATAAATCATTAGTTTTTGTCGCACTTATTTTTGCATTTTCAAACGCACGTTCTAACACTGCAATTTTCTATAGTTTTAAAATAATAATGTGTAATAACAGCACACATCAATTTCATCGGCATTCAAATTACTGACTAGACTTAACTATAAAAACTATTCGATAATTAGTAACACATTTTTAGAAACCTTAATTGTAGTATTATTAAATTGTAATGTTATTAAATTGCAACAGGTTTAGACACATATTCCATAAAATTAATTTCGGGTAGGAATTTTTGGAATTAATTCACCCAAAGCATTTCGTGTTGAACTTTGCAGAGTAAAAAGATATTTTAAAAATATAAACATTGTTAACGCTAAAGTGATGAACGCTAAACACTACACTAACCGCTATACTGTATAATGCTAAGGTTCAGTTATTCTACTGATAATCTAACGAATGAGCAGAATAACTGGGGTGCATCGTTAAAGTGCCAAAAATTTCTCGAAATCCTGGATAATCTGCAAATTAACTAGATTATCTGCACATTACATAATATAGGCAATTGTTAAAATGAAAATAAGAACTAAGACAACATTAACATTTCTGTATGATTAAACTAACATAATGCTATTTATTTTATTTTGAGATATCTAAAAAATCCATATACTGCAATCGAACAATCTACACATCAGTTAATAAAATCAACTACTTTAAAAAGTATAATACAAAATAGAAAATAATTTTAAATATTATTACTTTGATGGAAACTAAAATAGTATCATTTATTTATTTTTCGGTCAAACAATAAATTCGATTAAACAATCGGTCAAGAAAATAGCTGATAAACTGAGAGAAACAAATTTTTGAACTTTAATGATACCGAAACTGTTAATGCGCACATTACCCAGGTAAATTGCGGAAAACACTTGATTCCGTACTTTAACGGATCACCTTGGTCGTTTTGCAGATAATCTGAGTAATATGCATTAACGACTTTCGAATTTTAGCGACAACATATAGATAAGATAAAAGTACTTACTTGAAATTCAGTTCTCAAAATCACATCATATTTCCTGGTCATTTCCATATACTCTGGAAACTTAGAAAGTTCTATGGGCTTCTTTGGCAACAAGGTAGACGACGCTCGTCCAGTGCATGCTTTTCTCATAATATCAGTATTCAAAAGAGACAGTTGAAGTTTTTTGAAAGAAGTTACTGTCCCGGAAGATGACCGTTTTAAGAACATCTTCCGGCTCTTTTTAGGCACTTTACCCATAGTTGAGCCCGGGTATTTCTTGCCGGACTCCACTTTGTCTTCTTTATTTGATTAGCTTACATAAGGTGACCCAATTTAAGGTCACTGTTTCAAATAAAATTTCGTATCAAGAAAAAGTATTTGTGCTAAGTATTTTGCTTGTTCTAAGTCAAAAGTAATTGCAGTGCTGTTTAATATTGGAAGATAATTCTTTGCCTTTACTTCATATCAGTTTCTACAAGTTCAAATTCAAACAAATGAAAATGAAAAGATATAGATTTAATTAAAAATTAATCGTTGTTCTCATGATCTCATTTTTATCAACATTTTATTGGTCATGAAAATAATACAATTTTCAATCTTTTGATTTTAATGTTAGATAGAGAACGCTTTTCAATCGTATTTAGGTAGTTTTTAATTCTTAAATTATAACAGGGTTATATATCTAGTTCCTATTGCGAACTAATTCAAATTTTTATAAAGGGGTATATTTCTAAAGAATGTCCATTGTTCCCGTTTTCGTTTTTAAAAAAGTTTAAATTATTTCTAAAAAGAAGGCTTAAAACTTGTCAAAAATCGTCTTCACTTACTACGTGGTTGTTTGCTAAGATTTTAACTTGCTTTCACAATTTTAATTTTTAAAACGAACATCAGCAATACAAAATCTATTCATATAAAAATAGTGATTTTACACTTAAATAAATTGAAATCAGAAGTTTACTACTAAAATTTATTCTGTTTTTACACCAAACCTCGAAATAAAATTTTAGTCTTATTTAATTCTCATTTACATACAACAAAAAATTCTTTTTTTCACAATTTGCTTTTAAAAAAGCTCTTGACGATTTTAAATTTCAAGTAAAAAATAAGAATTATTCCAAATATAATCTATATAATTCGCTTTCACTTGCATTATAAATATCGTCTGCTTTTCGCTTACAAAAATCGTTTGCAGAAAATTAATAAAACGCATCGATCGAATTTATTATTGCACATGTTGAATAATGCTGAGTCGTGCAATTTAACAAACAACACATAATTCATTAATCCGTGATCAACTGTTAAAGCGTGGAAGACTCCAACGACGTTAGAAGAATTCTTGAAAAGCGGCCGTAAACCAGGTGCTCTACGGATCAACAACCGTCTGAGGGAGAATCCGGAGCAAAACAAGGGAAGAATTTCATCTCGCGGGAGTGGATGCAAAGAAAAATATCTGCGAGGGTGGTGCGCGTGTGTAAAACTAGAAAAATCTGCTCAAAAATAGATTTGTTGAAAACCATGGATCGGCGCCAAACGCATTATTTTTGTGGGGGCACTTAAAAGAATATTATGCATTGAGAGCTGAGACGGATGGAGATAGAAGCAGATGACTAGATGATGGGGAAAATGGAATGTTCGCATCCTTTCGGAGGAGCTTTGGTGGTGGTCGAAAAGGGTGCCGGGATCGAAAATACATCGCTAGAATAAGTCGCCAAAGGAGACCTCTGATCTCTCATCAATCATGCTCGCGGAAATGTTTTCATCTGGTCGCAAAAAAAAAAAAAAAAAAAAAAACGAAAAAAANAAAGAGAAATATATACATTGGTTCCTGAATTAATTGATAAAAGTCGAATTTTCATGAATAATATATTATTATTATCTGCAAATAGAAGTATTGGAAAAACGAGAATAAATATTTTAGCGATATTTTAGAGAAAAATTTTTTGAATTTGAATCGTTAAAAATCGCTAAAATTAGTTGCCAACGGAGACCTCTGTTTTCTTATCAATAATCATTAGAGAAATTTTATGTGATCGTAAAAAGTAAAAATAATTGCAAAAGTAATTGGTCAGTTAATTAGTCGGTAAAAATCGAATTATATGATTTTTATTAGTAATATATTCTTATTATCCGTGAAAAAGAATATTTCGTATGTGAGAGTAAATCATAAAGCATATTTGATGATTGATTAGAGAAAAATTACTTAAAATTGGGTGGATAAATTATGACTAAATCGGTAAAATAAGTCACCAATGAAGATTTTTGATCTCTCATCAATCAAGATTAGAAAAAATTTCATCTGGTCATAAACAATAAGAAAGAAATGAATAATAGTCAATGAATTAGCTGATAAATTTCAATTAATATCATTAATAATATGTTATAATTGTCGATAAATTAAAATATTAGGTGAAGGAAAAAATTAGAAAAAAGTATCTCTAAAAACTAGAAATAGTCAATGAATTAGTTGATAAATTTCATTTCATATATTTTTATAAATAATATGTTATAATTGTCGATAAATTAAAATACAAGGAGAAGGAAAGAATTAGAAAAAAGTCCCTCTAAAAATTAGAAATAGTCAATGAATTAGTTGATAAATTTAATTTAATATATTTTTATTATTAATATGTTATAATTGTCGATAAATTAAAATATTAGGTGAAGGAAAAAAGTAGAGAAAAGTCTCTGATGTAATTACTTAAATTCGGGTCGTAAAAAAATTTTTATGATTGAATTTTTATAGTCAGAAAATGGAAATATTGTTTGACAAGAAAAACCTTTTTATGATAGATTTGAGAAAAAAAATATTAAAAAGTTTATGCTGTTTAAGACGATAACATAAAATTTAAAATAAAAAAAATGTATTACTAAATAATCAATTAATTATCTTCCAGTGGTGAAAAAATATGTTTTTATCTAAATATATTTTGAAATCAGAGAAAATAAATTTCAAATGATAACACTGGGAAACTAATTTTTTTTCTTTTGCATTAGACTTTTTAACTGATCTTAGACACTTCGATTGAATTCAAATCTGCAACAGATTTCTTTCTCCTAGATACGATTTTTTTTTCCTTGAATGAAATTTTTAGTTTATTTTTCATTGAAATATATAAATTTTGAAACGTTATTTACAACAGGGGATCGCATAACTGTTGAGACAATATTCTAAATGAGTTGATTTCTTTGTGGGCTTCTGAACAGGACATAATAGAAAAGCATCCCCAACCGCGTATGACGACATTTCCAGGCATGGATTCCTGTGCAATTTTCATCCTGATGATTTGCCCTTATTCTCCTGGAAGTTTGCCGCAGCATTTATAAGGCCTTTGTTTTATATAAAGTTTTTAAACTTATATATTTCGATAAAAAAAAAGACTAAAAATGTAATTTTAAAAAATCTGTAGTTTTAGGAGCAAAAGCAATTTTAGATTCACACCCGAAATAGGCATGATTTGTATAAAAGCAACGAAAAATTTGTTTCTCAATATTTTACTATTTAACCCTTTTCACAGGTGTTCACCATTCCCAAAAATTTTCAGGATCTTATTTTCGATATTTGTGGACTTACAGCATTATACGTATTTTCAGATACTTCTCTTGTGAATGAGAAATTGTAAAGCATGAATAATCAAAAAATATTGGTAATGTACAAAATTATTGAGAAAAAATTTTAGTCAAGAATTTTTCATCAGCGGTATTCACTAAACTGCCTGATATTCTACATTAAGAAAGCGCTGCATATTAATTAATCTTTATTCTAACTGGATAAATTCAATCCGCAATTCCACCAATTTCCGCACGTTGTTGAAGCCCTGGGGAAAATTTTAATTTCAACAATACCAAAATTATTTCCATCCTTGTCTCATCAGCTCATCTTGATGCTCTAGAATCTTGTTTCATTCATGTGTATTTTGCCCTTTGAAATTGAAATCTTTAAAATGATGCAAAAAATTTTATACCTTACTATTCAAACTTTTTTTCGACCATTATTAAATAAAATAATAAATATTTACTAAAAGTTATTTTTGCATAGAATTATCCTTAGATAAATGAATTTTATAAATGTGTGCAAAAAATTTTCAGTTCACTCAAAAATTTCTCGAGATGTAACGAAATATGCAAAAAGTAAAATTAACATTGAAGTGTCCAAACTTTGGAGAACTCTCCTGGCCAATCTATTGGAACCATATTTCCCAGATTGCGGCGACCTCCTATATTTTGGGGATCAAAATTCGAATCGGAAAAATGAATATTTATTCAGAGAAAGCACGTTTTTTGTCTGATTTCGTAACTTAAAATATCATCCACACTTATTAATTAGCATATTTGAGGTCACCCTTTCGAGCCATTAAGATATATCTTAGAAAATTATCAAGCTTTAAAAAATTAAATTTGGACAATCTAGAATATATTCAATAATACAAGAACATAACATAATAGCATACCTGGCAACTCTTCGGATTTTCGAAAGGCTATGTTAAAGCTAATGCGGAACAGTTAATGCTAATAAAGGAGACGAGATAGTGGGGACACGGGCTTAGAATAGACAATAAGAATAATTCTGTTATTTATCAATGAAGAAATCCCTGTGAATTTCGGTCGAAGAGCAAAACTGTCTCAAACTATCAAATGTAGTAACAAGACAAAATATTAATTTTTTTTTAGGTAGCAATTAAAAATAGGGTTTTTATGGTCAAAAAGTAACTTCTTAATTATTAATTTAACTGCGATTTTAGACTATTTTTTATACGTTAACTATAAGAGATGTTCTGTTATGAATGAATCGTTTATTAAGATTTGAATAATCACATTTGATCTGCCTTTTTTTAAATAACCATTATTAAGTTTAAACGAACTAATGACTCGACGGAGCTATTGTAGGAGTTGGCCAAAAAAATGAAAACACTTTCAAAAGAAACTCTATCTAAATGATCTTTCTATTAGCAGCAAATGTTTAGGGAGATTTTACATAGCAAAACTGTTATCACAATTTAATAGATTATGCTTAAAGCTTTTAGAAATGAAGTCATTTTTACTCAAGCGAAGCTCGAATCAACCAAAATTAGAAGAGGTAAATAACTTCTTTCTAGCTTTATCAGCAATTATTCTTTTACTTTTATTAGAATGATTTTTTTAATTGAGATGGTCTTGAAGAAGGGATGCTATACTTTTATTAGAATGCTTTCATCAGAATTATAGTGCAATACTTTTATTAGAATGATTTTTTTAATTGAAATGGTCTTGAAAAAGGAATACTATACTTTTATTAGAATACTTTTATTAGAATGATAGTGCAATACTTTTATTAGAATGATTTTTTTAATTGAAATGGTCTTGATAAAGGGATAGTGTACTTTTATTAGAATACTTTTATTAGAATGATAGTGCAATACTTTTATTATAATGATTTTTTTAATTGAAATGGTCTTAAAAAAGGGATACTATACTTTTATTAGAATACTTTTATTAGAATGATAGTGCAATACTTTTATTAGAATGATTTTTTTAATTGAAATAGTCTTGAAAAAGGGATGAAACTTTTAAATTCCCACACTCATCTTGATCGATGCCAATTTTGTATGGGTAAAAATAACACCATTTCTATAAGCTACGAGCATGATCTTTTAAATTGTGCCAACAGCTTTGCCATGAGAAACCTTCCAAAGCATTTGCTATTAAAAGAAAGATTTCTTACATAAAGTTAGTTTAGAAGTGTTTCCATATTTTTGTCCAATCCCTGTAGGTGCGGGTCTACTATGGTCATACAAATATATTTTCTTTACATAATAACACGTATTAGTGATCACAAACTTATTAAATGATCGAATTTTGTCTTATTTTAATTATCACTATTAGAGTTTTCTAGGAACCCAGTTGTTATATTCATCGAGTTGGTAAACGTGGGTTCCTCCAATATTAAGTAGGTAGATAGGTACTTTACTAACTAGAGCTGCACAA